CCATGGACGGATGCCTGACTTCTGCCAAATGCCATAATGCTGCCCGCCGAACTTTTACAGTTCCACTGAAGGATGTCGGACTTCCACCTAGCCACCAACTAACACCCGCCTTACAGCTATTGTTGGACTTCCACCTGACAAAAGTCATTCCAACCTCCATCGCCAGCAGATCGCAGTCATTCTGACTTCCTTCTCCCACTACGGTCCTTTCAACCTCTGTAGCCAGAGAATGGTCTTTCCGACCTCTATCGCTAGCCAACTACGGTCGTTCCGTCCTCCTTCCTGACTACGTCCGACCTCCATCGTTAGACAATGGTCTTTTCGACCTCTGTCGCCCACCGACAAAGGACTTTCCGACCTTCGCCACTCACCGACTATGGTTTTTCCGACCTCCATCACCCTCTGACTAAAGTCTTTTCCGACCTCCTTTGTCAACTACAATCCTTCCATCATCCATTGCTAGACAAAAGTATTTCTGACCTCTATCGTTCATCTGCTATGGTCTTGCTGACTAAACAAACATGTCAATACTGATTCTTCCCATCTCCACCTTGTAATGTGTTTTGTATGATGTATATTTACTATATCAAATCAAGGTCTTTCCCCCATTGAAGGGTCTTAATTGTAATTGATTGCAAACACTAGTGGATTCATTCAAACTGGGCCAAGCCCCGTGATTCTTTTCAAGGGTTTTCCTCATAAAAAAAACTCTTGTGTCTCTTAAGTATGCTACACCTTCTCTTTTATATGATTATGTGATGGATCATCCAACAAAGCTAAGACGTTAAATCTTATATTTCTCTATTGGCTCGAATGTTCCAAGATGCATCTAATAAATATATAATAAAATAATCAAACAAAGGTATATCGTATATGATGTATAAATATGATATATAGATTAGACTAAATATTAGATTAATACAATTTTCAAATAAAATAATTTCTATCATTAAATTAATATATAATAAAAATTTTTGTGAAGCGTTAACCGTTGGGTATCATAAATGCTTCAGAATTGCAGGTAAGTGTCTTCTTTAGTTGTCTCTGTAATGTTGAGACGTCGCACATCCCATAGTCAAATCAGACGGATCCACTGAAAAGCTCAGAGCCACTCGACTTTAAATAAAATGGTTAGTTTGCCGACTCATGGATTTGAAGAATTGGTTGCGCAGCGGCAGGTAAATTTATTTAGTTTAATTGAGCACGAGCTCAACTTGAGCTCAAGCTGGTCAATGCCCCAAATTTTTCCAAAAAAAAAAAAAAAAAAAATCAAGCTCAAACTCAGCTCATTATAAAATTTATAGGCTCGAACTAATTTGTAAAATAAGGAATTGACGGTTGAACTTGATTTCTTAATTTTAATATTTTTAATTTAGATTTTTTATTTTTGAAATAGAATTAACTTAAAATTTTTGAAATATTTTATCCAATACTTATTTAAATTAAATTTTAGATTAGTTGAGCAACTCAATGAGCTTATGAGTTGAATTAGACTGAGTTTGAGCTTATTAATTATACATGTTAATGAGTCGAGCTGGAGTCGGCTTTCAAGCTGTCTAGGCTAACACCCCTTGTACAAATTTTCATTTATTTTTATTTATTTAACTTCAATCGAATATTAAACACGCCCATCAATTTTGACCTAATAATAAAGAGCTTGAGCTCTAATCATAAGGTTTAATATAATTGATACTTCACTAAAATGACTTTGATTGGGCAAAAATCTCAATGAATTTAAAATATATCTATACACATCAAAGTTGTATTATTTTCTTGATGTGACCTTATGATAATTATGTTTTTAAATATATAAAATAAAATCACCTTAAGGTAATAGTGGAAGTATGGAGTGGCATAAGGTGGCGGTTATTCCTAAAATTTGAATATATTATTGGGCGGCCTATATTATTTTCCATTAAAAAGTTATATCATAATATTTTAATATAATTTTTATCAAAATGAGTTTTAAAATTATTTTGTTTATTTAGGTTTAATATAATTGATACTTCACTAAAATGACTTTGATTGGGCAAAAATCTCAATGAAAATTTGAATTGAAAACTTCTAAAATTAAATTCGGGATCATCCAAACTCCAAGTAAATTAACAAAGACAATTGAACATCTCACGGAGATGAACCAATGACATCTTCTTCATATTTAATGGACATATCATTCCAAGAAAATTATAAATAGACTACATCATTCACACTGGGGGTGGGCTATGAGGCTTTAAGAATAGTGGAGCTCCACCCTGGCACCACCACAGACGAATTCGTGCCGCTAGGCCGCAGCTGCTAAACTTTTGGTTGACCATTGTTGTTGGTTCTCCACCTATAAGCTACTGGCGAGACTTCATTTGACCACTATCACTCGTTGACAATATGATCATTTCGACCTTCTTCGTCAGCCAACAATTGTCCCTTCGACCTCCATTACCCTCAAACTACTGTCATTCCAATCCTCATTGTTTTCTGACTATGCCTTCCAAGCACCATTGTCAAACTACGATCTCTCCAATCACTATCGCCCGACTATGATCATTCTGACCACTGTTGCAAGACTGTAGTCCTTCCAACTACTGTCTACCACTTACAATCCTTCTAATCTACATCGCCCTCCAACTATGATCCTTTCAACCTCCATTGTTTACTAACTACTTTCTCTCGAACCTTTGTCACCAAAATATAGTCCTAACATTTGTATGAAGTCATCGAGTCAAAATGTTACTAATTTAATTAAATTTGTTTTGGTTGATTGCAATTCAAATAGATCTAAAACCATGATATTTTCATTTTCATCTAATTTTAACTATTTCAACAAATTTAGATGAAATTTAAGACTTTCATTAATTTGTAATTCAATAGATTTGGAACAAAAAAGTTCAATAAATCTCTTAAATATTAACTGTCAAATTTTAATTAGAATTCTATCACCAAAGTTTCATCATACTTTCATAACTTAAATATATTCGTTAAATTGATGAAGCTATTAAAATTATTGATTTTGGAAATTTTATGATGGGCTGAGATTTCGTTTGGGACAGCTTATACTTTTCTGCTTATGCTTAAAATTTTTTATCAATATTTAGAATTAATTTTATTTACATTCAAGTTATATCTCTACACTCAATATTCAAAAACAAAATAAAAAGAAATGTATCACAGCTACTAAGGTGACTGTACTGTAAACAAGGAACAATTATTAGGTCCAGATATCGGACGTAGCTCTACATCCGGATGTCAATAATATGTCGCCACGTGCTCTTACTCTTTACTGCGCGACCCGATGACCTGACCTGGACTGGAACCCGGTATTGCTATATTCGCGTATTGTTCGGTATTGCTACGTACGTATTGCTAGGTATTGTTTGACAATAACGAGAAATACCGCTCTATTAAGACCAATACTTAGCAATACCGAGCAATACCTAGCAAACCTGTGGTATTGTTTGGTATTGGTCTTGACAGAATGATATTTCTCGTTATTGCCGAGCAATATTGAGTAATACCTCGGTCTGCATAAATCAGCCAATACATAGCAATCCCGGGTCCGGTCGTCGGGCCGTGCGGTAAAGAGTAAGAGCAAGTTGCACCATTTTACTGACGTCCGAACATAGAGCTAAGTCAGGACACCAGACCAAATAAAAACTCGTAAACAAGAGCTTATTCAAAAAAGTTTTCCCTCCCCCGTCAAAGAGAAACTAAGGAGACTTTGGGTTGAAAAAGGCGAAGACAAGTAATAAAGACGAGTGTAATTTATATTACCAGGAAAGTAATGATAAAGAAAGATCAGCTTATAATAAAGCCAATTCTCTGAATGCTTTTACGTAATTTAAAGCGTAAGTCGGTCGACAGCTCTTACACGGCAGTGGCCATAAAATTCTATTAGAAATAAATAATTTATAGGGCTTAGAGAAAAAATTAGCATAGCTATCGCCAGTCTAAAGATAATGCTAACCTAATTCACTTGCCTCTGCTTTAAAACACTTATAAAAACTCTCAGTCGGTGTGCCTTTGCTCTCTCTAAGACCAAACCTCCATATATTTATATCATTTATTGATTTATAAACTTATCATGGTGATTTATTTGGGCATAAAGAAGTTTTTCGATTTTTTTTTTTTTGCCACAATTTTTCAAATATATAACATGATAAATAAGCATGATTTTAAAATGTATTATTGATCCAAGAAATAAGAAATGCCAATGGTGAAGAAAATTTCTGTTTTTTTTCTACAAATAACTAATTTGCTTTGTATTTTTATATTATTTTTTTGGGACATTTGAGTCATTAAGATAAATTCATAGACACATTATATACATAAATTTCAAATCCAAAATCTCTTAATTAGCAATCAAAATTCTCAACTAATAGCTAAATCTTATGCTATGCCAAATGGGCAAACTTTTTATTGTTATTGTTTAACTCATGTGGTAGACTTAATGATGCTTAGTTTTATTGGTGGGCGAGTACGATTGGAAATCCTAAAACTCATGTCAGATTCTTCTAGAGCGGCAGCGCCTCCTAAGTGTGGCCTAATTATGTGCGGGCCATGAGATTTCTAAGGTTGGTGTTACGTCTAGCACTCTTCTAAAAGGTGACAGCATATGGATACCTATTGAAAAAAAAAAAAAAAAAACTCATTTGGCAGAGTTCAGTTCGATAAAATCTTGCATTATACAGTAAGGCAGGTCCAAAAGATGTTAAATGCCGAAATGCATTAAATAAGAAGCTTTTAAAATCAAATTTGATTTAGAATTTGCACATTATAAATAAAAAACTATTAAATAAAATTATAAAAAAATTGATAATTCCGGGAAAAATGAGAAATTAAATTAGTTAAGAAAGAAGTGAAAATTTTAAAATAATTTTAAGAAATTTAATCTGAAATCATAAATTCTAATATTTTATAATTACAATTTAACACGTTCTCATCAAGCACAAATCACTTCCTTAGCAGTTTGACTGAGGTACGCTATACAGCCATGGAAGCCTAGCCCAGTCTCCATCCTTCAACAGTCACATTCATCTTCTCTCCACAAATGCCAAAGAAACAAATGAAAAGCAGAGAAAGCAAGCCAAAGCAAAAGCAGCCTGAACCTCTTTTCTTATTCCTCGCTTCCTCTTTCTCTCAGACTCTTCACTTCTTCTCTCTACAATCCAATCTCCTGATCTTGAAAGCTCTTCTCTTTCCACACTCATCTCGCTTTCCACATCCTCTTCCCCTTTAAGAACCAGTAAACACTTCACTCTCCCACAAAGATCCCCATGGATGCCTTGTCTATGACCGCCTGAGGTCCAACCCACTCCTCCTGGCATGGAAACCATCGAGAAACATCATGGCTTGGTTCCCCTTGAAGACACCAAAGACTGCTCCCATGGCTTCTGTACCATCTTCTGCCCTCAGTGGTGTTACATCCTCTTCCCTCCGCCTCCCTCCTTACCCCTTTCCGATGATGAAGAAAGCTCCGGGTCCGCGTTTTCCCCGCTTGTAATCGGCATCATCGGCATACTTGGCGCCGCCTTTCTCCTCATCGGCTACTATACCGTCGTCACCAAATACCGCAACGCCTCGTTGTTTCGCCGCCGGGGTCCCTCTGACCACGACCAACTGGAAGAAGAAAGCGTCGAGCAGTCACAGCGCCAAGAAAGCTGGCATCTTCAGTCAACAAACGGTCTCGATGAGGCGCTCATTGCCAAGATCACAGTTTGCTGGTATAAAAGAGGGGACGGACTTGTGGATGGCACGGATTGCTCCGTTTGTCTTGCGGAGTTCAGAGAAGGCGAAAGTCTTAGGCTTCTTCCTAAGTGTAGCCATGCTTTCCATCTTCAGTGCATTGATACATGGCTCAAGTCTCACTCAAACTGCCCGCTCTGTCGCGCCAGTATTGTGGTTCAGAGTTCGGATTTGGAAAGTAGACTGGTTTCTGCTTCAGATCATGAGCAGGAGAGAGTGGTGGTAGTTGTAGATGATTTAGATTTGGAGAGGAATGGAGAAGAAGAAGATGCTGAAAGAGAGATTGAGGTGGAGAATGAGGGAAACACCTGCAAGGATTTCCAAGCGATTGAGATTGGGGAAGAAGATAACAGGCCCTTGAGGCGCTCTGTTTCGATGGGTTCGGTGTCTGGATATCGGGTATTGTCCATTGCAGATGTGCTGCAGGAGAGCATGGAGGATGGGCACTTGCCAGTCTCCGACGCCCGCTGCGAGTCAACAAGGCGCGGCGGAGGAGAGAATAGCAAGGGGAGAACGGGAAAAAGCAAAGGATTGCACTCTGTTATGAGTTCAGTTCAAATGAAGAGATCAGTTTCAAGTGGCAAATCTTGCTTTACAAGGAAGGGAAGGGGAGGAGTTCGCTTTTTCTGTTTTGAGGAATTGCAACAGAAATCTGATGGAGAAGAAGCCTCCTCTGGTACTTCGTCCGAATGAGAGTGAGGTGGTTAACAAATCATGCATCAATTTTAAGATTTGATGTAAGGTGGATGTACATCGAAATTATGATAACAAGCCTTTTTTTCCCTTAATTTCTCTTCTTGTTATGTAAAGGAAATACTTCTCCTTGGAGTTATGGACGTGAAAAAGAAAGGATTTTGATGCATGATTCAATGCATTACTTCGATATTTATGTTTGATGGCTCACATATGGGTTTTGAGTTTGCTTGTTTTGGCTTTGCATTTCTCCAATCGAATTTCATTCTCCTCTTTCGCCTGTTTTTTCGGCAAATCCGATAGAGACAGAAAAATAATGCGGGTGAACAGTGCAACGCCAACAACCAAATACCGGAAGTTTTGTCGTTCGGTTGGAGCTTGCGAGCGACACCATTCATGTGTTTTGAGTTCGGTTGGAGAAGGCCTAAGGCTTTGGCTGGAGGCTCACTTCTCATAAAATCTCTCCCACCTTCTAAACCACACCTTAATCATATCCAGCCCACTCTGCTTCACAAACGCCTCCTTGACTCCATTGAGAAGTATGATGCCTCTGTATAACTCTCTGATCCCCGTGAGCACTCCCGCGCCCCTCAACTTCCTCTACTTTCCAATGACTTCCTCCAATGCCTCCTAACTCTAACCTTAATCTGGTTCCTTCAATTCTTGGAAAAATTATTTTGTGTGGACACGATAAAAATGCACCAAGTCACCCTTTAACTGTACCGCGGCTTGGTGCCGAGGCTAGGTACTACTCGGTACCACGGCATTCGGACGTAGAGCTGCAGCAGTCGTCCACGCAGAATAATTTCTCCTATTTTGACCCAGCCCGCAACCTATCCCAACCTTCCCCTTTATTACATCCCATAAATCTGATGTGGGATGGTTTTTTTTATTGCTCAATAAGTAACTACGTTTGGACTTCCTAGATAACTTTATGGAGAATCATAAAGATGTTGATCTTTCCTCGATGAACTTACGGATGACTTAAAAGCCTAGTACATTGTGATCTGATTAGCTTATGGAGGAGCCAGGGCTTTACAGTTGAGCATAGGAAAAGATCCATCAAATGGTTGTTAACCAGAACTAAAAAAATGTAAATCATACAAGTAAAACTTGAAGGAATGCTAGGAAGGTCGATATGCCTAACATAAAATAGGGCATCATTAAATTCTAAGATATTTATTTGGTGGGAAGAAAGCACGCAACGAAACAATATAAAAGGAAATAACGAAAATGTACACTAATATTTAACATGAAAATTGGTATGGGGAAAAACTACAAAGTCACACTATATCAAGAAATTCACTATAGAAATTAAGAGAAATTGTACAAATCACTCTTCTCACACTCTCATTATCTCTCTTCACTTCTCACTTTATTTTTCACGTAAAATATACAAAGAAATGTTTTTTAATACGCCAAAGGACACAACCTATCAAGTAAACAAGAAAAAGAGAAGAAAAAAAATGCTCAGCCTGACTCATAACACTGCTCCGCCAAGGTTTGGAGCATCATAACACTTCACTCTCTATCTCTGAGTCCACCTTACAACGACGTAGCGCTAGGGTTTGGAGTATCATATCTCCCCACTCTTTGTCTTCAGCCCAAATATGAAGTGCTGCAACACTCCAACATACAACACTATGACGCTTGTACAATTTTTTTTGGCAAGGCCCCTAAACTCCAAGTAGGGGGTCATTGCCTCCCTACAACCAACGGTATTTAGATCTGAGAAAACAATACAACCTGATTGATCAACACAATCAGCAACTACAAAGAACTAACATTAATTTGGGGAGCATGATTGCCTCTTGCCTTCTTCTTATCTCTATTAGCAACCAAGTTATTGTGACTCAATTATTCATGGCTAAAAATATATGGAGTTTCAATACAATGTTCAAGCATCTTATTTGCGCAATCTGATTCACATTTGCCTCTAGAAATTCAATCTATATTATTTTCAAAAGATCTAACTTCTTAGGGTTTCAAAAAAGAACGCCACTTGCCCCCCTTATTCTAGGGCCATTGAATTTAGAAAAACTTTAAAAAAAAAATATGGATGAATTCATTCTTTGTTGTATGCAAACCCCTCTAATCTCCTTCGAATTTCTAAGGCCTCAACGATTTATCATAACTTGGCTCTATTAACTTATATACTTAAAAAACTAAAGCCAAGTGAGTATCTAATGATAAAGATGTGATATCAAATTTTATATTAAAAATTTAAAATTTTATGAAATTATAATTTTATTAATGAGTTAGTTGATTGCAAGTATTTGAAATTGTGTGTATTTTAAATGTAGTATAAAATAAATAAAATCTATTTAGACTATGATGAGAGAAATGATCGAAGGTCATTAAAGGTCAGCTAGTAAGTTGCAAGCTATAGTTGAAGGTCATATACATCAAAGAAAGATGTTGAGGTAGCAAGCTGGCAAAGGTTATGTAAATTTGGACCCCGCCCCAACCCGTTGTGTTACTGGGTTGACCCAACCCGACACGGTTGACTCAAGGACTGTGACGGAGGGCGGGCGCGGATGCGAGTGCCGGTGGGCAGGTTAGGGCACGGGCGGGCGTAGGCAACTTCGGGCGCAACGTTAGCAGGCGCGCTTGCAGGCTCGGGCAATGCGGTCAGCTCATTTCAAACAGATTTCCGACGGGTCATCCTGAACCCGACCCATTTTGAAATCGGTCGGATCTAACTCGAAATTTTCGGAACATATTCGAGTCGTATTTTCATGTTATATCCCCTATATTTATCCACTCATTTTTCTCCATATGTCTTATTTTTATAATTTTTGTGGTGGAAATGGATGCTCTCAGTCACTGGGTTAGGTGGGTTGCTTTTTAGAATAATAAATTTTGTATATTCTTTTATGTTTTGCACTCAGCTTAGCTTATTAGCTGGAAGGGCTTTCACTACCGAGGTTATAATTTTGAGCCTTTATATATTAAGATGAGGCTTTACATGTCGTGGTTTAACGTACTGTTTGCAGTTTACTGGATGATGAGATGTGAAACTCTTTGAGGAAAATGATTTTAGAATTGGGAAAGGAGCAGTGAAAAGGATGGCCCAACCACCGAATTTGCTGCTAAAAAAAAAAAAGTTCTGAAAAAATTTTGACCGGAGAGCACCTTTTTTTATTCAGATTCTGATGTATTAAGTATTAACTGAATGACAGAAATTATTTTTATCATATATGCATTTAATAGTTACAGTGAGCTGATCTTTCATCACCAAATAAATTTTTAGGCAACTGTCGCCTCCTTTCTCTTACAGCTTGGAGACTATAATCTGCAATTCATTGCTGGTCAAGTTTCAGCAATATTAAATTGATCATCGAAGGTGTCTTACATCTTTTTGTTGTTGTTGTTGTTATTGTTGTTAGATAAGTTGATGTTATAGGATGACGAGTATTGAGTCCCCTTAGTTTACGGTTGAAAAGATAGAATTCAAATTAGTTTATCATTGTCAACAGAAGTTATAGATTCATGATTGATGTATGAGATTGATATGCCATCAAAATTCACTTAGATTTGACATAAATTTTGATGTAAATATGAGATTGAGATTCAAAAATTAAAATGGAGATCATCTGATATTCTGATATCCAATTTTTGTAAGTTTATAGTCAAATTGAACATCTCAAAGAGACGAACCCAATGACATCAAATTTGATCATATTCGAGTCAAAATGAGTCTAAATCAAAAGTCCAAAGTATATTTGAAAGCCTCAGGAAATAATTGGACTACCAAATGATATTCGAATATGGCATGCTTATAGTCGAATCGAGTGGCTCGACGAGACGAATCCAACGAGCCCATGAATACTCAATCCTGACATCTCTAGGACATCTAAATGCTTGATAAACACTTTTTGTTTAAGGAATCACTATAAGCCGTCCGATGGAATAGTGTCATGTTAAAAGAGCATCATGAGTCAATGATCTACTCTTCATTTGATTGAATCATTGAAGCTACAAGAACTTTAGAAGGATCATACGCACCTGAATTTGCAACTACACCTGCTTTAGCATCTTTGGTAGCTCTGCTTATATGCGATTTTTGTCTATCAAGACAGTCTTTCTTGAAGTGCCCTTCTTTGTAACAATGGAAACACTTTCTTGATACTCTTGAGTTTGATCTTGATCGAGCTTTATTGTTTCTGTTGTTCCTACTAGTTTTGTATTAAGTTCTTCCACGCATTCAGAGGCTATCTGCCTTCCTCTCTTCCTTCATTTCTAATTTCCGTTGAACTTATTTAGACATGAGCATTGATTTAACCTCAGTCATGGTTAGAGTTTGCTTCCCATAAAGCATGGCATCTACAACATGTTCCTATGCTTTTGGCAAGGATTTGAGCAATATAATGCCTTGATCTTCTTCTTCGATTCTTACATCATCATTCTATTATCTATTTCAAATCTTGGCATAGACATGATCACCTTCTTTCTTTGGTTGGCTTTGATACCACTTGTTGAAACTTGGAATGAGAACATAAATCTTCCAGTTGCCAAAAAAAGAACTCATAGCTTCTTGAAGATGAAAATATATTTCTTTATTTCTCTAGTAATGAATACAAGATACCACTATCACAAAGGTGCAACCTCTATATATAGACATATTAAAGAAAGATTGAAAAAATAGGACAAGACTAGACAAGGCTCTTGAAACAAAAAATTGTACTAAACTATTAACTGTGAAATTACAAGATTAACCTAAACAAGATAACAATAACCTAAATAGAAATCATTATTACACGAGCATTAAATGATACTAATTGTGAACATAAACAACCCAAACCCCAAATTGTTCAAGCTTGTTTATTTAGTTATTGAGTATTTATCATAAGTGTTCAAATTCGTTCATTTACTTTATCAAACAAATATAAAGAAGCTCTTATCAAGCTTAGCAACGAGTAGCTCATCGAACTCTCGGTACATTTGCATCCCTAACCATTAGTTTGGATAGGAGGAGCTTTCTTGTGCACAAGAGTCCCTAAGTAGGGAAAAATTATTTTGTGCGATGTCCAGATGCATCTCCGGACGAGCCACATCACAGGGGGCTCAGTGCATCCGGTGATATGGCTCGTCCGGATTCGCCTTAGGAGAAGGGCTTATGCGTGTATTAGTTGATTCAATTGATCTAGACTAGTTAAATTCATTCTAGCCAATCTAGTGATGAAATAATTCTTTTCAAGAAGCACAATTTTAAGTGATAAGCTGACCCTAACAACATACACTTCTTCACTCTAATATATTTTTTTAATATTTCAAAATTGTTCAAGTCATAATCTTTCATTTTCAAACTCCAACAAACTCAAATCTCTTCACCTTGCCAAAAGAGTGTCTTTGCTACAGGAAGAGGTGGGTGTGCATAGCTACAAGGCCACATCACTTGTGAGTGAACAATTTTGGGGTTGAGGGACACAGGTGCAAAAACTTTAGAGGCAAAAATCATGTATAAAAAAAATTAGGCTCACAAATCATATATACATATGATAGTATTGATAATTCCTTTCAAAGGTTTTATATCAATTTCAAAGTGTAGCTGACATATTTATTGCCAATTGTAGACCTCTTATTAGTGTGGATGCTTGCCAACTTAAATTCAAGCACTTGGGTGTGCTTTTATGAGCAAATTTACTTGATGGTAATAATGGTTTATTCACTTTAGTCTATATCGTTGTTGAGACTGAATCAAATCAAACATGGTCATGATTTCTTCATAACTTGGGTGATACTATTGGTACAAACATACGACCTCTTGTTTTCAGATCGGACATGAAGAATGATATAGGTGAGACCATTAGAGAAGTTTATCCCAAAGCTAAGCATCAAGTGTGTACTTGTCATTTGTGGAAGAATCTTAAAAATATTTTCATTGCAAAGAATGAAAAAAAACTTCAATGCTTAGTTTGGTTAGCTGCTAATGCCTACATATGCATAGAGTATGATGAGAAACTTGTTGAACTAGGTGATTTGAGTCATACGATTCACTCAAACTTACTTACGTTACCTTACAGAGGTGGTTCCGAAGTTAGTTCATATTTGGGATAAATCATATCGCTAATACAATTAATTTTAAAGAATCATTCAATTCATGGATTATTGATAAAAAATAAACTTGTTGTAGATCTTATTGATATGATTTGCATTACAGGAAAAACATTATTTTCGGGCGACCATTTCCGACTGAAAAATGATCAAAATCCGTCATAAATTAGTATGTCCTGCAGAATTTTTTTCGGTGGTAAAACGCGCATACAAAACAGCTTCCGACGTTAAAAAATGCGTCGGAAATATTTCCGACGCATTTCGGACAGCTAATTCGCCTGAAACAATTTTCGGTGATTTATTTTTGCACCGGAAAAAAAAAGATGCAATCAACCAATGGCCCGCCCAAGAACCTGAGCACCTCACCACGGCCCTTCCCCAGCCCGCCCGCAATACCTAGCATGACACCAACTGGCCCGTCCGTGCGCGCCTACCGCCTACAGAGGGTTCGCACGCGCGTACGTACAAGCCTCACAACCATTCAACCACAAAAGAAAGCCTGTTAATGTAGACATTTTTTTTAACTTAAAGTATAATCTATGAAATTTTAAAAGCAAAAAATTATTTCAAAGCAAGACCATTTTTTAAAATTAATTAATTTAATTTAATAATAAACTATTGAATTAGTTAATTTTATTTTAAAATTTTTAATTTGAACAAATAAATTTAACAACACGTTATTAAATTATTTAACTTAATTTCACTAAATAAATAATTATAAAATCTATTATTATCAATTTTTTTAATTTTTTAATTTCCGCCCGAAATCCGTCGGAAATAAATCCGACGGAAATCCAATTAAAAAATTCGCTAGAAAATCCGTCGGAATTTCTAACGAATTTTTTTCGCTGAAAATTCCACAGGAAATGAGCTATTTTCCTGAAGTGTTGGGGTAAGCTGATGGAGCAAAGGGTTGTGCGAAAGATGACTAGCATGATATGACAACGTGAATTAGTGCCACATGTGAAAGATTACATAAGAGACATCACAACAAGAAAAAAACATTTGGTAGTACACCAATCAAGTCTTTAATTACAAGGCTAAGTTGGAGAGCCTCCATTCAAGACATGTCGTGGATGTCGAAAGTCGAAACTGTATGTATATAGGGTGTGGCAGGTAACTGTATTTCCTTGCATTCTTGTTGAGACTTTTATTGGCATGAAGGAGCACCCATTATGGCATACATACAATGATTACTACAATTATGTTGCCAGGTAACATATATTAGTATGGCATATCAACTACTATTTGCATATTAAATATACTAACTTGAGGATTAAAATTTCTTTAGGTTTAGACTTGCATATGATGGTGCAATTACCATGCTACTTGGGAAGGAACAGTGGTGAATAGAAGACGATGTTGTGCAAGTTGGAGTGCCTAATACATCGAAATCAAGAGGTCGGCCAAGAAAAAAGAAGACTACTAATTTTCTTGGATAAGGATAAAAAAGTTCATAAAAGTTATAGGTGTGGACTTTGGGGGCATCATCGGAGTACTTGCAATTACCCATTACAAAGGATGAATAACGAAGAAATAATTCTCACATAATTAGTACGACCAAGACGTGCAAAGTTACCTAATAGGTGGAGTGCAAATGGCATTGAGGGTCCTGAATGCAAACTTTCATATCTGAATGGTTTATAAGTTCATTTAAAAACTTGACTTCTTTTTGCATGGGAAAGATTTTTTTTAATATGAAGTTCTTTTTTATTGGACAGTGCAATTTTTTGACATGTAAAGTTCTTTTTATACTTAACTAAAATAGGAAGGTTACACTAAATGTGAACTTCTTACAGACGATTTTTCACTGAAGTCTATTTTGCATTTACCATTACAAAGGCTTCTTTTGCAATGCAGTTTAAATCAACTTAGTAATAACAATGATGAATGGGATTTCTATCACTTCTTGCAATATATTTTGTATCACTTATTTAGCAATGCAGTTTAAATCAACTTTGTAGCAACAATTGACTTCTTTTGAGAAGATTTATCACTACTCAAGTCAATTTATATATAAAAAGAGGTTTGTCGAGTGCTTGTAGGAATTATTGTAATGTAGAGATTTGGGAGATAGCTGTAAGGTGTTTGATGGAGATTGAACCTGAGAATTTTAAAAAAGTATGTGTTATCATCAAACGTATATTATCTTCATTCCTACAAACACAACACGTGTCGATATAAACAACACTACATCAACATTCACAAACAAATTTGGCACGACATATTATCACACAAAGTAAACCCTAATGATGGTGTCGATAACAACAACCTCAATAAAGACTTTCATTCCAAAGGTGACCAAGTCAAGCTTCTTGGAAATCCTTGCCTCAACCTCTTTTAATTCACAATGTGTGGCATAAGATGACTCTTCTAGTTCATCTATCCATTTAAAATAATTGCAATCGTCATCTGCTTTATAGAAAGAAAGCACGCCGAAAGAGAAGGCACAAAGAGAAGTTCGCTGGAAGGGGATTTCAGTGGGTAGGGGATAACGTCGTGAGCTTGGGAGTATACGGAGTGGTATTTTTTATGTTAAAATTGTGTTTTGGTGGTATGAATGACATATTTATGTTTTAGATGTTAGATATATAAAATAGTTGTTATTTAGTGGTATGTATGTAAATCCCCAAATAAAAAATTATTTTCAACTTTAAGTAGTTGTTAAGCCTTAAAGAAAGGCAGCTGTTATAAATAAATTGGAAACCCTATTTCAAATTGAATGACAACATTAATCACCTTCCTAATACTCATGTCATAAGAAGCACTATATATGCTATTGCTAATTATTAAAGTACACCTCATTTTGAATCTTAATTTTGGATCAAAGAATCAGACTGTTTAGCTTTGTTATTCCAAAAAAAAAAAATCCAAGGAAGGCTAGCATTAGAATATATATTACTAAATGCAAATTCCTAATGAATGTAAGTCAGCTTCCATTAAACCTTTTAGATTAGTCAGCCATTATTGATCAACTTCGGCTTCATTTGGAACACCATTCTTACTATTTTTTAAAAGTAATTTTCTAGCATAAAAAGTTTTTGTATTAAAAAAATTATCTCAAATGAAGCCTTATAAGAGTTTTTTTTTGGGCAATTTTTTATCACTATTTTTTTAGGGAGATTTACATGCATACCATCTTATACTACTTTATTTATATATTTAACACCTGAAACTTTAATATTACATATATACCACTCATAGTTCATTTACATATAAATCTGAGCGGTATAAATGAATTATATGAGTGATAGAAAAGAAATATAAATAGCGTATTTGATATTAAAATAATATAAGGTAGTATACAAATAATATTAAAGTTTTGGGTTTTAGATTTATAAATAAGATGTTATAAATTGGTATGTTTGTAAATTTCCCTTTTTTTATTACTATCAAAAACTTTTGCACTAAAAAATTAATTAAGAAAAAAACGGCCTCAATCGAAGCCTCAGACGTAAGCGTGTAAGCCTTCATCCCAAGCATTAGTAGAATAACCAAGTTCTCAAAAAATTCTCTTCCATCAAGGAAAAACCTAATCAGGTCACCAATCATTCATTTCTGTTTGTTTCTATTTGCCAAGAAAAAAACAATTAAAATAATAATCCAATACCAATTACCAATAATTACATGTATTAACATCAATCAAATAACATAAGCACAACTTAAGCTTAATTAAGACTGGTTGCAAACAAGGCAAGCCAACCACTTTTTAAACCACGAAGGCTTCTTTTTCTTCTTCTCCCCCTCCTCTTCATCACCCGCCGGAAGAGCAACAATGTAAGATTCGTCGGAGCCACAATTGCGACATCTCTGAGCCTCCTGCAAGAAGGCCTTGAAGGCGTCTTGGGTGTACTTGGCGCCCTCAGCAACAGTCATGCCTTGGACTAGGGCGTCAGGGAAGATGCTTGGATTCGCATGGTCGCCATTGAGGACGGCGGCGAGCTGAACTAGCTCTCGCTGGAAGTCGGAGAGCGGCGCGCCCTCGGCAGCTTCGGTGGTCCTCATCTTCTTCACCTCCGGCAGGGTAACTGTACATTTTTTCATCTATCTTAGATTAGGATTTTGCAGCCTTGAAACCACACATAAGAAATGAAAAAGAAAATCAAAATAATAATTAAATTCAATGGATAAATTTTTTTATCCAATTAATTGACAAAAAAATTCCTAAAACTAAGAGTAAAATATTTTTACTCTTGATAAATTTCACTTCATTTCAGTTTAATCAAGAGATAATTGAATTTAATTTAAAAATAACATAAATGCATATCTTTTAATAAATAAGGAGAAATTTTTTATGATCTCATCAATGTGGCTCATATTTCTTCTTCTCACAAAAAATAAAAATGAAATTTATCATTAAACTGTCATGAAAAACATCAAAGAGAATATTAGAACTAAATGTGAAGAAATATATAGATATTTTAGGACAAATTAGAACAAAAGAGTTTTTTAGGGTTTGAAAAAAATTTTAGGAGGGACAAAAATTTTTTTTACTCTCCTATATTTATAATAATTACTCCTATAAAAAAAAATTTTTTTTGAGAGGGGAATTCCCCCTAAGAACAAGTGGTTCGCGCCCCTGACCTCAATTCCTCTTACACATTCTATATATAAAATTAAGTAGATAAAACCTAGAGAAATCTAGAAGATTCTAGAAACTTTGTAACAAACTAAATTAGATATCCTAAGAATTTTAATCTAAATATCTCCGCATCAAAAAGTTTGAATTCGAATCTTTATATGTGATATTATAGAATTTATCTTAAATGATCTAAATATCAAAAAAAAATTATGCTACACGCAGAGCTTTAGTGTTTAATTACCTGACAATCTCGTCCTCGGAGTATTCTGGTGAGAACTATGTCGAACGTTCCCGCCCACGCATCACGCTTCGTTAGAACTCTTTTGAGATTAAAAATCTTCTTCACTGTGCGGGATGGAAGAATGCTCAAACTCCGACGAAGAGTCCGGCCAGATGGCCTGTGAACCATTGGCGCGCATTTTGTGCAATGCAAATGCAAAATTATTCTTTTTTGTGCAAACTAAAAAAATGTACAAAAAACGATATTGATACAATGCTGATGTGTCATATTATCAAATATTTTGATGATACAGTTGTAAATAAAAGTATTTGTGTGCCCATTTTATAAATAATTAAACTTTTTGTATTATGCATGCACTTATCTCTCAAATATGATGCGTTAATCTTTAATACTGAAGTGTTTTGTGGCACACACGTGCACATAATACGTGTACTTATAAAACACTAACAAACACACGGTTTGCATGCCCAATTTAGAAAAATTTAAAAATTAGCGGATACACATATCTAATAGATGCCATAAATAATAAATTTAATCTTACAAATATATCTAATAGATGCCATATATATATATATATTACATAAATGATTTAAGCTATATTTTCTCATTTATTTTAAAATATATTATTTAAATAACTTAATAGAATAACCCAAGACTAATTTTAGTTTTTATTATTTTTCTATATTATTTTTTATTTCTTATAATATTTTTTTAATTATTTTCATAAATCTTCAAGTTGACAATCTATAATATCATGTGAATTTTTTTCTTTTTTAAAAGAGGCTAAGATGTTTAATAAATTTAAATGTGTTTTAGATTTTATTAACAATTGAAATAAATTTATTATTATGTGAATTTATTTAATATTTATAGTTACACTATAGTTTTAGAAATTTTAAGATATACTATTATGTTTATGAGTCCATCAGTATCCTATATCTTCAATAAGAAATATGTCTCATATTTGTGTCTTAATGTGTTCATCTCCCCATTCCTGTATTAGAGCTTCAAAGAAATAAATAAAGAAGAAAATTAGCTCATAATATGATGATCAATTTTTTTATCAAGTTAGATCTCAAAGCTGTTAGATTTATAAAGAGATACGTGCAATACAAATTTTGATTGATTACACTCATCGATCTCAAAACAAATCTAACAAATTTGAGACTCATCATAATCAAAAATTGGTCATCTCAAAACCATTGATTTACCTATTCCTTTCTCTATCCATGGAGAAATAAAGATGGTCGGAACCCTAACGCCGAGGCGGTCGAACTTGAAGTTGAAGGGGTCAGGGCCGACGATGCCATCTGGACTTGGCACGCCATCGACTGGCGTGGGTACGTGGTCGAAGAAGCCCCCGTGTTCGTCGTAGGTGACGACGAAGAGGATCTCGTTCCACTGGGGGCTCGAGCGGAGGGCCTCGTAGACCTCCTTGACGAACTTCTGGCCCTCGGCGACGTCGTGAGAGGGATGGTCGTCGTTGCCGGGGAGGATTTTGAGGTCGAAATAGCGTTGCTCCACCACCACGTAGTTGGGCAGCTTCCCCTCTTTACAGTGTCTCTTAAAGCTCAAGTCGAATGGGTGGAACCGGTCTATGTATTTTAACTTACGTAGGCTCCTGAGGAGAACAGCACGTCAAAGTTTGAAATTTTATAATAAAGAAAATGGTTGCGTCTCTCGATGAAAGGCATTAGATTTTGATTATTATAATAAAAATAATACTTACTGGTTTAAATTATAAACAATTATAAATTATATAAATATAAAATCTGTATCAGAAGAACATGACCGCACCTGTAGAAAAGAGTGGCCGGCGGATATTGATAATAAATCCCAAAGTCAAATCCCGCCTCATCCAAGGAGTCAAATATGGTCTTCTGCGGCAACCCCTCCACGAGCTTCTTCGTATCATTACTCGTCAGTCCATGCGACGTCGCCGAGTGCACAAACAAACGGTTCGGCTGAGTCGAAGCCGGCATCGATGCGAACCACCGGTCGCAAACCGCGAACTCCGACACCAGCTCCCGATAAACCGGCACTGAATCGGGACGAAACCCGTTCATAACCGCCTCCGATAAGCCCTTTTCCTGGCTCTCCGCCTGCTGCACGAAACCATTCATTGTTGGTTTGACGCCGGCAGGGGTGATGGGTGTTTCGCCGGCGGAGAAAGGGACGCCGTAGACTTGCTCGTAGATGGCTTGGATGGAGTGACCGGGGTCCGGGTCGACGTATTCGGCCCGGTCGGAGAATTGGACGGTGGAGGAGGATGGGTCGGAGGTGGAGATCGGGTTCGATTCGGAGCCGGTGACGCCGTCGATTGATGGATTTAGGGATTTCATCCAACCGATCATGTGATCGAAGGAGCGGTTTTCTTGCACGAGGATTACTATAGTGCGGATTGGGGTTGGTGATGAGGACATGGTTGGAAATTAATTGATTATTGATTGTTTGTTTAATAAAGTTCTGCCTTTTATAAGAAAATTGGGGGTTTCTTGCGAGGAGAAGGAAGGGATATTCGGGGATAAATTCTGTTGAGGGATTAGGAAGGAAGCAAGCGTTTTTAGGTTTTGTGAGATTTTTAGGACTGGAAATGGCAGCGCTAAGGAGAGTGGGAGTTGGGAACTGTTAGTTGGATGGATTAGCTGGGAACTTAATGTACGTATGGTTACCGTCTGATTTACAGGTGGCCGGACCGGAGTGACCCGGTTAGTGGGATTACGGGAATAGGAGGAAGGAACTGGCGGAAAGCAAGCGTTCCCGACAAATGTTGACTAGGCGGAAAATAAGGAGAGGCGATTGATGGAGTGAGATCCGAGTTTAGAGCAGGGTGTCAATTCGGGTCAATGAATCGGGTTCGAGTTCAATTCGACTTATTTTTAGAATTAACGGGTTAACTCGAACCCGAATTGTTTAGCTAAAGGGGTTGGGATTTTCAACCCGGACTCGACCCACATGAGCAGTTGCTGAGACGCGACACGCATTGGTGTAGCAGCGTAAGGCCTGGCCGCTAGGTGAGGTCGTCTGGTTGACTAATCGCACATGGTGGTCGATGCGGAGTGGCCTGTATCGGGTCGAACCCTAGCGTACTCGAGCGAAGCCATAGCTATATATGTAAAGATTCGGGTCTTAGGGCGGCAGCGGTTACTGAGAAGTCAAGAAGAGGGTATGCGAGGCCGCGACATGGCGAGGCGAAGTGTTGAAGTGGCCTACATGGCGGCCCGAAGCAACAACAACTGGGCGACGCGACGCGGCTAGACGTGACGGCCGGACGAACTCGACAATGCTGGCACGACGTGACGGGTCAATTTTCTGGGTAAACTTCGGATTGTCGGGTCAACCCGAATCTGACCCATTTTTCAAATGGGTCAGAAATCCGAACTCGGACCCGACCCGTTTCACAAACGGATCGATCCGAACCCAAATTTTTTTAGGTCGGATTTCAGGTACTGTCAAAAATTGATACCCCTAGTGTAGAGGTAGAAAGATTGGCTTGATTATTGGTAAGAAATTGATGGAGGAAATGAAAATTGACACGACAGAGTGACGCATCTCTGAGAAATTGATGTTGGTGGTTAAGCCATGGCATGGTGACAGGAAGCGAAGCATTCGGAAGACAGCCACGCGAGAAATCCTCATTTTATATGATAGAAATGTAATCAAAATATTTTATTAACAATAAGGTTAACCCCTGCAAGTTACCTGTTTTTTATGCATATGTTGCAAAAGTCAAAGATAAGTATTTATGTCAAAACTCTTCCGTGTTATATATTTAAAAAATTCCCTATAAAATATTGTCATGCACGTTCGGTTGACAATTTTTTAAAACCTGAAAGTTCGAATATTTACTTACCTTTTGCTGCAACAAATATGTAGCTTCAACTTGGCGCAATGATAAAAATATGCAAACGTCGTGATTAGTTTTAAAAAAAAAAAACTAATTAAATAGATATTCCTCTGGCAAAAAATTGAGTCTGAACATTTTAACCAAAACTTAGGATCTATCAACAAAAAATTATAATTTGTTATAAAAGTGGTTGTAAAGTTAAGATAAAATTAATGTTTCATTTGGGACGGCTTTTTTACTGCTCCTCAAAATAAATTTTAGTATAAATATTTTAATTTTTGTACTAAAAATTTTTTTTTAGAAGCATTAAGAAAGCCATCACAAACGAAGTTTAAATTTATTAAAAGTTATAGTAAAAAATAGTTTATTATGTCAAAAAAAATTTGAAAGTAATATCCAAATAAAAATTGTGCTTGCAATCTAAAATCAAAGTAGTAAACAAATTGTCTCAAAATGACTTGTAGTTTTTTATTGATTTTAAATTTTTTAGATGTATTTAAGCTAAGCTCTATTGCATGCTAAACTATTTGCAATTGTAGAAAAAAGTTGTAATTTTAGTGCCATATGAAATTTTAAGCAAACACAATAAGATGTATATGTTGAAAGCTGTTTAGATGAGAGACGAGACTTTTCAAATGAAAACCTGAAAAGAGGAAAAGCCATACATTTTTTACCCAATAGAAATTATTCTAATTAATTGCTTATATCATAAGCACAAATATTACCACATAAATATAATTTAAAATATATGAATTGAGAATGTTGGGTTCCTAGTGAAATTTAGCAGAGCTTTGAAAATAGCTTCAATATTAGAGCATTGGTGATCTACTCTGTCTTTCTATTTAGACAAGGCAAGAGTGGATATAAAAAAGACCAGCATAAATGAATCAAATGAATTTTCTAGTGATTTATTAAATACAATAGATATAGATTCAATGACTTTGAAATCTACCATTTGGCAATTTTTTTTGTTAGAATTTCCTCGCACACTTTTTTCTCTTCCTAACAATGAGTGTTAATAATAAATTCGAAAACTTCTCTGATAACATAAACCCACATATTTAGATAGCCGAATTATTATCCAATTGAACATAATTAATAAGCTAACGCATATTTAATTTTATCTTATTTAATAAATGAATCAAACGAATAATTACAAATATCATTCGCTGCACAAACAAATAAATCAAATATAAATGCAGGCATATAACTACTTTGCCGTGCCTTAAGGATGTGAACTTCTCTCAAGAAAGCAATGAAGCTGTGGTAGATAAACACCCACGCATGCTTACTGTCATGGAACCATCATCAAAATATCACAGATTTATTATCCATTTTAGTCCATTTTCTTATATAATATGCACATAAAAATTAGTAAGTTTTATATTTTTCTTCATTTTAATTTCTATTTTTTTCAACACATTTTTTTATTTTTTCCTTTCCTAATGAAATCCTAGTTATTGATCGAATTAACTTACCACTCTTTACGTTAATTGCATTTTTAATTTGTTTCTATAAATTCAACAAAAAAATACAGAAGAAATAAAAACAAATTAGGTTTCGATTATATATATTTATATAATCTGAGGTTTATGACCATTATTGGATAAGAACTACGTACGTGCTCCATGGAAACCTCAGAAGCTAATAGCGTAATTAGCCCGTTAATTATTTTAAATGCGTCATGGTTTTGCACAACTCGTTAGAACGGCTGCTTCACGATCTCCTTCCTCATGAAGTATCAAAAACAATGCATCAAATAAAATATATATATATTACACGCACACGCCATTCAAATTAATCATAATTATTTGTCTAACCAACCAAACAAAATTATTGCATCCGTGCAATTGCAGATGTCCAATGATTTTTTTTTTTTGGTTAAAATTCTTATAGGGGCACGCATTAATAAAGAAAATAAATTACATGTCCTTAATTAGGGGTGTCAATATTTGACACGACACAAAATCCGACCCGAACACGGTCCAGAAATTTCGGGTTTGACTCAACCCGATTTCAAAACCGGTCGGGTTCGGGTTCACGGATTTGACCCGTTTGAAAAACGGGTCGGGTTCGGGTTGACTCGACGGGTTGTCGGGTCAACATGCCAACTCATTTAACATGTGTTGCCCACAATCCGCATCTGCCCAGGCTGCCCGCGCTCCTGCCCCGGCTGCCCTTGCCCTGCCCGCGCGACAATGCTAGCAGCGCGCCGCCCGCTCCCCGCAAGAACAAAGCCAACCGGATCACCCACAGAAAGCAACACAATCAGCTCACCTCCAACCCAAACACCCCAACCATTCCTAATCCCAAACACCATCCAAAAGCAACCAAAACCCCACCGCCTGCTGTCAACACAAAGACCCCCAACCGAGCAAGCAAAACCCCACAGCTTACCCAAATCAAACAAACACACAGAGCCCCACAACAGAAATAGCAAAACAACCAAAAGAAACAACCCCACAACCAAAAGAACATAATAAGAACCGGGGCCAACAACAGAAAATAGAAACTAAAAACTTTTTTTTTTTTTAGATTTTCTCCTGCGATGTTTGGCACTCCCAACAGATGTTCATTGATCAAATAATAAAAAGAAATGATGAAATTAGGGGAAAAACAGAATTAAAGTTTGATTATTAAAATTTGAAATTTGGATGACAATTGGATGAGTAAAAAAAAAAGAGGAAAACAGTTATGATATTAAATGACATTTGAATGTTAAATGAAAATTTATCGTTTTACACATTGCCATTTTGAATTTTGAAAATTGCATTGCACTTTTATTTCTATAAAGGATATGTAGAACTGTTAAATTTTAATAGTACTGAGAGCTTTGGTGGACAGATGCCATCATATTATTAGTATTAGAGCCTTAGCAAGACAATTAGGGATAAGAAGTTTTATTATGGTTTAATGTGGTCAAATGTAAGAGATTCATCTTATGTATAAATAGAAATTGTTTCATATCATTGTTCTTATTAGCTGACAAAACCATAGAAAAAATACATATAAAATGAGAATTTTGTGGAATATTTTCTAAAATTAAGCAGGAGAAGAGTGAAAGCAAAGTTCAGACAAAAATAGTCTTCCCACTTTCTACAAAAATCCAATATAATAATGCAAATGAGCTAGGATTAATTATTTTGTTAGAATTATATAAATAAAAATTTATAAAAATCAAAGGCTGGCACAACAACTTAATATCGAACTGCCCAAATCTTTAAGCGCCATTTTTTAAATAATTGTATATGGATTTCAATATTGCCAGGAAGAATCTAAAAGTAGCACTTTCCTTTCTTGTCGACAAATTTAAAAAGATGAAAAACCTCTCCCTTAAAAATATGTGTGGATATAATCAAAAGAGGTTACACGCCTAATAATTTTTCTAATACTTGGCATAATTCTTCATAGCACGTAACTGATCTTCAATGGCAAAATAAAACACATAAAAATTAGCCAACTGCAAGAAGTCGTACCTCCCATCAGATCCGCGTCAGAGTACACTACTTTGAGCAGTTAGCAGGGAATGAAGAATTCTGCTCCCTGTTTTGATGGCTAATTCTTGTTAAAAGCCTTAAATTCTTCCAGTTCTCCTCTTTGTCAGACGCGTGGAAATGACCAGAAGAGTTTGCCTTCCAAAATATGCAGGGTGCAACCTCGTCCCATACGTAGCAATAGCACTGCAGTTTGACAATTATAATGAGAGTGATTGAGTGAATATTTACCATTCTTTGATAAGTGGTGTTTTGATTTCTCTGGTTCCTGAATATAGATATAAATCAAGTGAAAGGAAAATGATAAAGCTATAAGAAAATATTAAAACTATATCACACATACCTCTTCAATATCCTAGCTCAAGTCGCCGGTCAAAGTTACAACTTTGTAGCATCCACTCATAAGTCTTCATCATCACTATTGGCTCGATCTTATTTTGAAGTTTGACACCTTTTAAATTTTATCAAAAGAGCAAAAGTTAAGAAACCTTCATAAGATTACCATGCAATAGGTATTAAATGGCTATAAGTTGTCCTTATTAATCATTATTTTCAACCTTCTTTCATTGCCATTATATTAAGTTCATAAGTTCATACTTAGCTAATTTTTATGATCTTCTCTTTTCAATCCTTCGTACTAAAGATAATAAAAAATCAAATACAATAGATATTATAAAAGAGAAAATCTAAGAGATCTTAAAAGAAAAAGATTTGCATCTCAACAATAAACAAGAAATATGAAACTAAATTGATGAGTCAAATTAGTAGCCCCCAAGCAAGTCTTTCTGTTTTGCAACCTATTTGGATGTTTCAAACAATTTGGGGTCCCCAACATCCCAATTGGTTCAAAATGGGTACTAGTGGATCTTATTTCCATTAAGACAATTTCTATTTTGCAAAAAAATGTTTTTTTTTGTTTGCTTGCTTTTCAATTGTTAGATATTGATCCTAGTTTTAGGTTTGTAGCTTGTTGTGTAGCTTGATGTGTAGCCTTTATGTCTATAAATAGAGGCTCTATAGGCTGTATTTGAATGGTTTAAGCAATAAAGATTTTAAGTTTTGCCACCTCCCTCTGCACTTCCCTCTCTCCCTCCTATCTCAAGATCAAAGAAGAGGAAGGGCTTTTTCCTCTCAAGCAAGTTCTTGTTAACATCAATAATGCTTCCTTTCCCAATGTTTGAAAGAGATGCCTATTAGCTTTATTTCCTTTTTAGCTTGTAATAGTTTTTTTTTTGCGATCTAAATGCAATTTGTATTTCTTCAAAAACAAAAAAAAAAAAGAGCAAATCTTCCTAAAAAATAAGGACCAATATTCATGATACTTTTACATTATTAAACTCTTATAAAATCAATTTCCATATGCTAGAAACCTGCTAGGATTAGCATTTGTGACATTTATATGCTTCCAGGCAAATCCTACTCAGTCTTTTGTTTGCTTCTTCTAATTAATAAAACTTTTGATACACATGGGCTAATTGGATTGATCATGTATTAGATTAACTATTAAGAGAAATTAAATCAACTTTATTATGCATAATTAATCCCTGCTTCTAGCGTTAAAAAATAAAAAAGATTTTATGTTGAAGAATATTTTCAAGTTCAATGATTTACACAAAAAAACTGTTCAAAATTATAGCATTATTAAGTACTATACATTACTTGAAGTTACATAATAGATGCAATCATTCGAAAAAAGTTCTAGGAAATTTTGATATAGTGTCATATTTGTTGGCCAAAGTATTTTCCAGGGCATGCCTTGGATATTTACCAAAGAGAAGTAATATTCTTAGCAATCATTATATTGAGTTAATGTCATTGAAACACTAACTAACCAATCATTTTACTCTCACCAAAAAAAGACCCAAGTCACCAACTGATAATAAATCGTAAATCTCACTCATTTCCCTTAGTAATCAATCACATCATAATAACGAATCAACTAATCAATTTCAACACATCAATCTCATACATGACCAACATAATTAGTGTCTCAAAATCCAATTGAAAGGGATCCAACCAAAACCATACCTTGATTTATCTAAATTGTCACAAAAGCATTCAAACTCAGAAGAGAGACAAAGAGGAGAAAAGGGAGGAAAGTAGAAGGAAATAACATAAGAAAGTGAGATCAAGGTTGATTTATAGAGAATGTGGAAAGGAGTATAACAAACTTTCTTTAGAAATATATATTAGGAAATTGAGATTAGGGTTATTTAATTTCAATTACGAATGCTTCATGTTAAAAATTTAATGCACCGTCATGCATAAGGAAAATTTGACTTTATGAGCCCGGTGATAGAAAATGTGAGTGATATGTATGGAGCACTGGAGTGATGTGCAAATGTCTAAGTGGTATGCGAGGTTATAGTATTGGAGGACTTGCACAAATGCTAAAGCATTATAACCCTTCCGGATAGCATTAGAAAAACATCACATTTTTGTCCTACTATGTGGGGTCAGCTACATGAATCCTTTTTCTCTATTGTATCCTGTTAAAAGTCAAATTCTTGATTAAATCTAATAAAGAAAGATCATTTCTAATATTTTCTAACCAAGTCTTTTTAGGTCTACCTCTACCTTTCTTAACATAAGTCAAATCTAATATCTCTACTTTTCTAATCGGGTCATTGGAAGGCTGTTGTTTTATGTGACCAAACCATCTAAAGCAACTCTCTCTAAGGCACTGAACATTACTTTCATCAAACGCCACACCCGTTTCAAACGCCGCGCAAGAAGGTTTATAAGGCTTCAATGACACAAGGGTTCTCAACTCCCTTGCCTCGCATGGAGGCTTCGACCAACTTGCCTCTCTCGCCCATACGAAGGCATGCATTCTTATCACTCTTACCTTCAATGCATGAAACTTTCATGGCTTTAACTTTTGGCTAGCATGCTCTCAACACAAGATTTGTATAATGGCTCATAACCGCTTTTGATTAACTTAAGTTGTATCATGGGTTCTTTTTTCTACAAATTCAGTGCATGTTAGATGATGTCATGGTGAGTTTAGTTATTTCTCTTAAGTAGTTTAAGGCATGGTAAGATATTTATTGATTAAATATTTTATTAATAACTTGCATATGGCCTTCTAAAAAAGTAGTTTATCTAGTGAAAATCTGTTACGACCCGGCCCGTTGAGCTTGTGTAGACGATGCGGGAACGGAATCGAACGTTTAGAACATAAACCTTTCTTCTTACAATATACATTGAATTTATCTAAAATACTCCACAAGAAACTAAAAGCGCCTCTAATATTTTCATAAATATAAATTAAACACTTCATGTCATATCAAAAGAGAGTTCACTTATACAAAGGTGGTTACAAAACTAAACATTCATGCTAAACCACACAAAAAAAACAGTATATACTATAACTAAGAAAAACATCAAAAGAATCTGTCAGCCGGTACTCGACGACTGTAGGTGAACCATGGGTGGTCAGCCATTTTTTGCAGCTGATTCTCCTGAAAATTATAGGTGAACCATGGGTGGTCAGCCATTCTTTGCAGCTGGTTCTCCTAAAAAGTATCCCAACACGAGAGAGTGAGCTAACGCTCAATAGAAAAACTCTAATCCTAACATTTTCACATGCCTTATAAAATGAAAATTCACATATATGCTAGGAGTGAAATGCCTTGAATGTTTTGCTACACGATAGTTTTCATGTCTTACGAATGTTTGCCTTATGTATGTGTATGTCATGTGTCTTATGGATGTCATAGCTTATATATGTCATATGCTTAATCATATTTTATTTTATACAACCGTACCGGAGTATCAGGAGTGTACTGATCATGTACACATATCTTTTTGACCATTCATTTCTTTTCCTCTTATGCCCTAAAGGGCCATAAAATAACTACTCAATCCTTGACAATAGATTTACATTAGTTATGCCTCACATTATACATCGTAATCAAGTATGATTTCTTCACCACAGACTATTTTATGACAATATTATTCTGGCAAAGAAAATTCTTTATGAAAGGAGTGATAACAAGTAAGAAAAGCTTTTCTATGCAAAAATTGACATTAAAAAACTTTTGACATTGTAAATAGAGCTTTTGTTCTCAACAGATTGAAACAAAAATGCTTAACGATCATCTTCATTGAGTAGATTAAGGTTTGTATTTATGATATGCACTACTCCATTTGCATTAATGGTGCTCTACATGGCTTTTTCAAATTCTCAACTGGGCTCAACTCTTTATCCCTACTTATTTTGTATTGTGATGGATGGTTATCTTGCTTGTTTGATGCAAAGATTGAATGTAAAGAATAGCAATGCATCACCACAAAAAACTACCATGTGTCCTACCTCCTAAATGCTGATGATTTGTTGGTATTTGGTGAAGCTTCTAATAATAATCTTAATGCTCTCAAACTCATCCTTGCTGAATTTGTTCATGTCTCAAGCCTTCATCCCACCAATGAGCAAAGTGTCATTTCCTTCTCCCAAAAGATTTTCAACCCCACCTCTCTCCCAACTAATTAAACTTAACCTGACTGAGCCCAAGCTCAAATATTTCAGCATTTCCATCTCCTCCAAAACACTTCTACTCATTAATTTTTAGCCTTTCCTCCACAAAACAAAACTCAGTTTGAAGGCTGAAAATCTACGATAATCTCTTTTGCTAGCAGATATCAACTTATCACATTCTCTATCTGAAACTTATTTGACTATTGGATTAGGGCTACTGACATTCCTAATACCATTATCAAGAAGACTAATGGTCTATGCTCTCATTTCTTATATCATGGAAGCTCTAACCTATAAAAATTGCACCTCGTCTACTGAGACAAGACATGCAGGTCAAAGTCCTTCGAAAACATTGGTTTGCCCTGGTTTATGCTTGAAGGTGCTCCCTTATTGTAGAATTCTCAGCTCCACCTCCCCTTCTTACCTGCTAGTGGAAAGCTAAATATGACTCTATTTGGAGAACCTCTTCCATTAATCCATCGCCTTCTTCGAAAAGAGTTGTGGAGGATGCCTTTCTTATCAGGTCAAAGCTTTTTGTTTCTATTGGCAATGGCAACACTCAAACTATTTTGGGATCCCTAGTTCAATCTTAAGAATCTTGAAGAACATTTTGGCGGGGGTATATTTCTCACCACCCCCTTATCCTCTTACTCCTCTCTCAACATTATCATTAACAATTTTACTTGGATTATGGAGGGAGTTATTCATCACAGCATTGGTCAACTTATTAAAATAATTCCCATATCTAGAGAAGATACAGACACTATCTTCAACGATTCCAAAACTGATCCTAACTTTAAAAACTTCCTAGCCTCATTCTATGATTACTTGCCCACAACAAACTGGCATAAATTCATTTGGTGTAAATAATTCTCTCTTGGATACTCCTTTTTTACTTGGCTTTGTATGGTTGATGAATTGAAAATTATGGATGTGCAGCAACAATGAAACATTAGGGTGAAATAAAATTGTTGCTTCTGCCTTGAGAAATTTTAAATGAAAATTTACCTTTTTTTAATGCCCTTTTCACCTTTAACCCACTAGTCTAAAGATTGTTTGGGCCACTTCTTTTCTTCTCAAACCTAATCTCCAGCAACTTCTGAATAACATTATCAACATGGTAGTTTCTCTTCAACCATCAAAAATTTCTAGTTAATAAATATTTGTTGCATCTTATACGTTATATGGAGGGAAAGAAATGATAAAAATTTTGTCAATTCTTTTCTAGTAACTCCAACCTCCAAAAAATTAAAAATATAATAAGTGGCTATTTGGCAACCCGATTTATGCAAGATTTAATATAAATCTGATAGGAAGTACTTGATTTGGCAAGTAATCCTATCGGATCTACTTGAGTTCGCAAGCAACCCTAATAAAAATTTGATCAAAACAACGATAATAACCAATATTGGGAAGAAACGGACAAGAAAATCAAAGAAAACTTTATTGAAAATTCAAAGCAAAGAAACATAAGCAAAGATACAAGTGATCCTATATTTGAGAGGATGATCGTTCTCTCCAAATCTCTAGACGCGATATCTAGAGCCCCAAAACTCCAAGAGACTCCAAGACAACACCAATCTAAGCATGCCCTAACCCCTTCCACCTTATCCCTATTTATAGCCTTCATCCTAGCCCTAAACCGCCCCCCTCTTACTAAAAATACATTATTTTTATTAAATCAAATAAGGTTGCACCTCCTTCCCAAAATACAATTCAATCAAATATGCAACTAGGCACCTCCTTTCCAAAATACAATTGAATCAAATAGGCAACTAGGCACCTCCTTCCCAAAATACAGTTTTTTTAATTAAATCAAATAGGCGTGGGACCCAATGCTAGGCGGCAAACCAAGGGAGGCAGTTTGCACCGCCTCTTGTAAACATGTGCCGGCCCAGGTGGGGCCAACTAGGTCAGTTGAGGAGGAACTGTGGCTTGCACTAACCTATCAAAATCCTGTCAAACGGGATTTGAGAATCTGATTAAATCTCACGGTGAGATAAATCCGCTGTAACCCACTTTTTTTTGTAAATCCTAAATTCACTAAATTCGAGAGTTCGGCGGATTTACGGGATTTGCCCGAAGAAGCATTTGAAAGAGGATGAAGATGGTTACCTTCACAATGCACAAGCTCCCCTTGTTTATTTTTTTTTTCGATCCGACGTCATCGAAGGAGGCGAAGAAGCTTCATTAGCGACTTTCAAAACATTACTCCATGCAAAGTATGCAAAGTCGAAGCAACAAATATCGACGTCAAAGGAGGTGAAGAAGCTTCTTTAGAACGCTACTTTACGATAAGCGCACAAAGCCAAAACAACAAGGAAGAAATGGCCATGAGGAAAAGCAAACCATAGACAGGAAGAACATAGATAAAGAAGGAAGAGCATAGATAAAAGAATAAAAATAAAATAAAAAAGGAAGAGCATAGATAAAGACCAAAGAGGAGAAATTATAGAAATACCCAGACAATAGCAAAAAGAGCATTTGGCTCATTGATCATGCTTCAAATAACCACCTTAAATTCTAAATTAGATTGTCAAATAGCTTCACAGAATTTAACAACTATCTTGTCAAATAGTTTTCAAGATTTAACACACTTTGGATTTACTAAATTTGGATTTACAGGATTTACTAAATCTAACATGTTGCCAAATAGCACCTACAAGTTTGGAGTAGCAACTGAAAAAAATATGTATATGAATTATATGATGCCATTTATTGGAAAATTGCCTTTTTCGGGATGTCCTTTCAGTATTTTCCTTCTAATCTAATGGTGCTTTGTGACCCTCTTAAGTTATTTGTGATGCTTGGCAATCTTCTACTAGGGGGGTCATTTTGTCAAAATAGTCAACTGTCGGGTTTGAATCTGATACAAATCCAGTCAACCCAAATCTGACTCGTTCAATAAATAGGACAAAAACGCGGACACTAATTTGATCCGCTAGCAGCCTGAATGACCCGAACTCAACCTGATAACTCGTTTTGATTTTAAAAAATAAAAATAAAAACTTTTTAACAATAGATTTTAGATTAATCAATAAAAAATAAGAGTATCATACCAACAAATACAAAATTAAAAAAAAAATAATTTAAACTAATCATTTCAGGTCAAAATCGGGTTGGCTGGGCAACCCGAATCAGACCCATTTAATAAATGGGTCATAATTTCGGACCCAAAGTCGACCAATTTATTAAACTGGTCAACCCAAATCCAAATTTTTCGAGTTTAGTCATTTTTTGGCACCCCCTATCTTCAACCATACTATAGTACACTCTCTCCCTCCCCCTTTTAGATGGCATTGGACAACAAGGGAGGCTTGCTATGGCAACTTTTTGGACAAGCTGATTTTACATCTGAGATTCTCCTTGCAATTAGGGGAACTTTTTTACACCGCCAACGGTTATCGTTTAATCTATTTGATTGCAAGAATCTCACTTTTCAGTTTTTTGCTGGACGAAGATGTATCCAAGGTCATGGCCATTTTCTGACCTGATTCTTGTTCCTCGCCAGGTACAGCTTTACAATTTTGCTCCCTCATTTGGACGGCCTTTGGCAACCATGGGGTGTAGCTTCAAGTAGATTTCACGTACATAATCCTTCAACTTATGTCTTATAGCCAATTTCTTCTAAGTCCGTTAATTTTTGCTAATTTTGCTTAGAATGTTTTTTTGTGAAAGTAATTCAATTTCTCACTTAATTTTTTCCTCTCTCATATAATTTTCTCTTTCATTCCTTTCTGAGACCTGGGCTTAGATTAATGAAATTGGGCTGTGCCCCTAAATTTTTCAAAAAGGAAAAAAATATTTCACTTCATCTGATAGTTTTTCTCCCATCAAAGCAGAAAGAATAGAATAGCTTTAACCATACAAGACCGAAAAAAAGAACTTAACCAAATGCGGTATCCATGCCCAAGATAGGACTTTTCTATAGGGCAATGGGTTTTGCTCTTCGTAATAACACATTAACACTCCTCCCAGATCTCTCGGATCAATAAAAAACGCATTGAGCGACAAAAAAAAATCAGTAGATACCACTTTTTCCTGCATGAAAGATAAAAAAAAGTAAAAATAAAGTACCTTGCCACTTTATTGTGATTCTCCAAGTTAAAACTGTGATTGAGGTCGGCGTTAAGGAATCAATAGGGTCAAAGGCGAGAATGCAGCATTCATCGTCCTCACTTGCCTTCTCCTCCTTCGTAAAAGCCTCCACAACGGAAAGTACTTAAGAGTTCGTAATGGATCCGAAGAGTATCTTCTTGTCCTCCCCCTCGCTAACCATTTCGTCGTCTTCATCGCCCAATGACGAGAGCTCGATCACGACCTAACGCCCGACGGAGGTCATTGACACGACCCAAAACCCCGAACCTCACAAGAAAATTTGGAGTTAGGTTGAACCCGAACCCGAGGGTTCAATAATTCAACTCATTTTAAAAATCAAGTCAAGTTCAGGTTGACCTTTTTGACCCAAAATAGACCCATTTGATCTGAAAATCTCTTTTTATCCGGCAACCCGAAATTGACCCATTTTTGACCTAAAAAGCGATTATTAACCCATTTTTGGACTCTAAAATTAGCAGTTTTTTTTGTTTCTACCGGGTCATTCGGGTCGTGTCGTGTTGACTCAGACTCGAAGCGGGTCAGGGGGGTCCGGAAAACTGACCCGTTTGCAAAAACGGGTCGGTTCGTGTTGACCCGAATAGTGCCAGATAAATTTCGATTTCGACCCGAACTTGACCCTTGACCCGAAATTAACACTCCTAGACGTCCTGAACTAGTATTGGTGCATTAGTGTTGGGTCATGACATGAACAAGTCCTGATGCAACTTTAATGTTTGTTGGGAAAATAATTTTAAGTTGGCTCATTTATTATAAAATAAGTCAAGAATAATAAGAAATTATTAAAGTGATACAAAAATAAAAATAATAAGAATTTATTTGAACTAAAAAAATTGTATTTTTATTAAACTTTTTAATAATAATATATTAAAATTTTATATATATTAAAGTAAATTTTATGTTAACAAATTTTAAATAAGTCAACTCAAGTGCTAGTGAGTTGAGTCGAGTTAATGCAATTTTGCATTGTTATATAGTTGGTTGAATTCGGCCCATGTCAAGTCGAGTTCATGAATCGATTACATCATTGTTGAGGATGACTTTGAAGTCCAAAATTTTGATTATCTAAATCAAACCGGCTTGATATCCTTTAAATTTTCAAATCAAAAGAATTAGGATTTTGTTTTATTTAATTGCAAATAATTATATATCATACTTATCCTAAAATTACTTAAGATTTTTAAATTTTATCTGTTGGGAAATTTCTATATGTGGGTCAATATATTTTATACATATAAATAAAGAATTATACATTAGACGCTATCTAAAATTAAGCCAATTAAATTTGTGATCTATTTGAGTATTAAATTATTATTTGGCTTATGTGGCATCTCAATTAATTTTGTATGGAATTAAATTACTATAGAGGCCGGGTATTTATTTTATTTTAATGATGGGCTGAAATAAAATATTTACACTTTAAGTATATAAGGGTCGTGGTCCCCAGTTTAAGCGGTGAAGTTTTCATTTCCCTCATTTCGCATCTTGAGTGAAAAAGAAGGGGTCTCTCGCTCTCTTGGAGAACACCGCTCTAAACATGAAAGATCGAAAGACCTTAATTCTGCTTTTCAATGGATTCAGGTACTCTTCCGAAAATTCTTCTCGATGATTTGGCATGTCGTTCGGAGACGATCGAATTGATTTTTTATGTCTCCATTAAATCCTAACATTATCTCCATCAAAATTTTAATTAGAATATTTGACAGTTTTTTTAAGTATTTTTGCTCAGCAAATGTGAGACAATTTTAAGAAACAAACCCCTCGATTTTGTGAATTTAGAATGTTGAGTGATATCAAGCCAATTCGACCTAACTAGCTAAGTAGAAATTTAAGATTTCAAAAATTTATGTTAATCCGACTCAAATTTGGGTTTTATTTGGAAGGATTTTTTGTACTAAAAATTTATTTTTAAAATCAATAAGAAAGTTGTCCCAAACAAAACTTTAATCTAATAAATCGTATAGTTTATTACATTAATTTTGAGACAAATATAAAATTAACCATATAATTTTTATATAATGGTTATAAATTAGTGTTGATGCGATGGCGGATGCTATTGAAATATGATTAAAAAAGGGAGTGGACAACTATATAATTTTGAGATAAATATATAATTAATCATATATGTAATTATATATGTATTATAAATTTCTTATTATTGCGTCCTGAAGTATTCGCGGCGGCAGAGAAATATAAAGTTTAATATCTTAGCATTGTACGAAGATTTGGCACGCAAATAAGATAAAAAGATAGGGTGCGTCATTCACTAGAGACATCAAATATTTTTACGTGGAAAAACCCCTAAAAAGGGGGGAAAATCATGGTTTCTAGCCTAGTTTGAATGAATCAACTAGTATTGCAGTTGATCACAAATGAGGCCCTTCCTTAGGGGAAGGCCTTAGCTTGATGTACATTTTATATAGTACATTACATGATGGGAATACAAAGAATCACTGCTGATATATTTGTTTGGTCAGAAGGACTGTGGTTAGTGGGCGACGTAAGTTAGAAGGACCATAGTCGGTGGGCGATGGAGGTCGGAGGAACTGTAGTCGGTGGGCGACGTAAGTCAGAAGGATCGTAGTCGGCGGGCAACGGATGTTAGAGGAACTGTAGTCGATGGGTGACGTAAGTTAGAAGGATCATAGTCGGTTGGCAACGGAGGTCGAAGGGACTGTAATTGGTGGGCGACGTAAGTCAGAAGGACCGTAGTCGGCAGGTGACGGAGGTCAGATGGACTGTAGTCAGTGGGCAACGTAAGTTAGAAGGACTGTAGTGGACAGGTGATAGAGGTCGGAAGAACTATTGGCTGACGACGAAGATCAGAAGGAAGGCAAAAGGTAGAAGTCCAGCAATTGATAGAAAATCCAACATCAGATATATGTCTGATGAAAATCTGACAACGTGTAGAAGTCCAACGTCGGGTAAAAATATCGCGACGAGCAGAGGTCTGACGTCAGGTAAAAGTCCGACGTCAGTCGACGGCCGGGGAGAACTCCAGCATTAGATGGTATTCGGGCAAAACTCCAGAGGCTGGAGATCAGGTGGAACTCCAGTGTCACTTGGAGGTTGGGCGGAATTCCTACATCACTTGGAGGTTCGGTGGAATTTCGACGTCACTTGGAGTTCAAGTGGAACTTCAGCGTCAGTTGAAGGTCAGACAAAACTCTGGTGTCACTTGGAATTTCGGTGAACTCCGGCGTCACTTGGAGGTTGGGTGGAATTCCGGCGTCATTTGAAGTTCATATGGAACTTCAACGTCACTTGAAAGTCGGACAGAACTCCAGCATCACTTGGAGTTCATGTGAAACTTCGGCGTCACCTGGAGGTCGGACGGAACTCCAGCGTCACTTGGAAGTCGGCGGAATTTCGGCATCACTTAAAAGTTCGGCGGAATTTCGGCGATGGTCGAGGATAAGTTTCTTCCCTCATATTCTTCTCTTCTCCTCTTCTTCCTTCCTTCTTTCTTCTCTCCCCTCTCAAGAGAAATGAGGGGCTATTTAATATTTTTTGAGGATGGCATGACCCGTAACTCGGAGGAGGATCAAGGACAAATGTGGAGTGGTTTGGATGGACGGTCGATATTGAATCCCTTAATCAAAGATCGTTTGTTAGACATTTGAAGGTCTTAATAATATAAGAATTCAGTGATCTTAGGCTCGTTGGATTCAACTCGTCGAGTCGCTCGATTCGACTATAAGCATATCATTTTTGGAAACTGTTTGGTAATCCAAATTATGGATTGAACCTTCCGAATGTGTTTCGGGTCTTCGATTTGGACCCATTTGGGCTCGGATCGAGTTGAATTTGGTGTCATTGGGTTCATATTTCCAAGACGCTTAGTTCGACTATAAATTTGTTGAAATCAGAGTTCAGATGGCCCCATATTTAATTTTTGAAGTTGCCAAGTTGATTTTTGCCTCGAGATTCATGTCCAATCAAGATAATTTTTTGATGATAAATCAAAGATAATGGTACATTTATGTGAAAAATAACTTATAATTAAATAATTTATTGAAAATAAATAATTATATTTTTAAAGATAAAAAATTATTTCCCTATTAACTATTAATTGAAAAGACAAAAAACAAAAAGAAAAAGATTAACAATATTTTAAAAATAACAATATTTTAAAAATTAACAATTTGTATTCCATTAATAAAAATTTCTAGCTCCGAGCCTCATTAAGGCCTATGATTATTAGTTCATAGGCTCATAAAATAGCTAGCCCAATTGGGAAAATGTTGGCCCAACATATATAATGAATGAACAGCTAATATAAATAGTGTAAAATGTTTGACAATTGATTAGAAAGGTTTTTTTCCTTGGATATCATAATTTTGTGTCATTTATTTATGATTTATTATTTATCATTAAAATAATAAAAAACAACAATTTCAATTTTACAATATCACTTAGCTCATTTTAATCGGTTGGTTGGAAACTTTAATTATCAATAAAAAATTCGTAAGTTTGAAGCTTCTGTATTAATTATCTATAAAAAATTACAATGTCAAGAGTTTTTGTCCTAATACAGTCAAAACTTTTAAACGGTCAAGTTTGGCAGCAGTAAAATAATAAAAATTAATGAATTTTTTTTTTTAGTTGACTCGGTAATTGAGAAGTCTGCAAATATATTCAGCAATGTCCTCTAATTTGCGGTCTTCCTAATCTCCGGAACTTATAAAACTAATAATTCTTTTATGATCACTGAAACTATAAACACTGACGGCACTTTTGCTCTGCACTTCAAGCCAGATTAGCTTAGCTTCTCTTCTGCTATCCTACGGTTCCTGTAGCATCTATTGGATACTCTCATGCTCTTCCTTCCAGCCCCCAATTCCTTCATATTTGTGTGATTTCAATTCTAATTCTGTTCCATTACTAGCACTCGCTAGAAATCTTTCATATAACTATCAGCCTTAACCTGATTGAAAAAATAATAATTGTACTTTTTCTATTTTAATATAAAGAGCCAACTTTATAGACTCATCCTCACGAAAAATTATTAGTTGCCGGACACCTGACGAGCTCTACATCCGGACTGCCAATAATCATGCCGTCACAGTCTCTTACTCTTACCCCGAATCCCACAATCTGGACCCGAATATTCTCGTATGTATTATGGCTGATCTTGTGCCAGACTGGGATATTGCTCAGGTAGTCTGTTCGACAATATACGAGAATATCAATCTGTCAAGACCAATATCCCTATGCAAAACCGAGCAATACCTAGCATACCCCGTTTTGCT